AACCACACTGCTAACAGAACCATGATGCTAACAGTACCATGGTGCTAACAGAACCACACTGCTAACAGTACCATGATGCTAACAGAACATGTTGCTAACAGAACCACACTGCTAACGGGACCAAACTGCTAACGGGACCAGAGAACATCACTACCAACAGAACCACACTGCTAACAGAACCATGGTGCTAACAGTACCGTGATGCTAACAGAACATGTTGCTAACAGAACCACACTGCTAACAGTATCATGGTGCTAACAGTATCATGACGCTAACAGAACATGTTGCTAACAGAACCAAACTGCTAACAGTACCATGGTGCTAACAGAACCAAACTGCTAACAGAACCAAACTGCTAACAGTACCATGGTGCTAACACAACCAAACTGCTAACAGTACCGTGGTGCTAACAGAACCAAATTGCTAACAGTACCGTGGTGCTAACACAACCAAACTTCTAAGAGTACCATGGTGCTAACAGAACCAAACTGCTAACAGTACCAGGGTGCTAACACAACCAAACTGCTAACAGTACCATGGTGCTAACAGAACCAAACTGCTAACAGTACCATGGTGCTAACAGAACCAAACTTCTAAGAGTACCGTGGTGCTAACAGAACCAAACTGCTAACAGTACCATGGTGCTAACAGAACCAAACTGCTAACAGTACCATGGTGCTAACAGAACCACACTGCTAACAGTACCATGGTGCTAACAGAACCACACTGCTAACAGTACCATGGTGCTAACAGAACCACACTGCTAACAGTACCATGGTGCTGTAGATGTTTTCTTTTTCACTTTTGGCACGTTGTTTTTGTATTTTTGTTTTTGCTTTTTGGCAATTCAAGACGGTTCTTCTCGTCCTCAGCATTTGATTACATTGTTGACCTCGTGTTGATCTGCATATGACAAACCTAAAGCTGCTGTCAGATACTGTTTAGAGAACACCATCCTCACAGTGAAGCATGGTGGTGGCAGCATCATGAGACTGGAAAACTGGCTAAAGAAAAGAAGGAGCAAAAAACAAACAAAGAAGGAAAATATTTTAGTTTTCCCTCCTCCAACCTGCTTCTCAGCTCGTTGAGCTGTTCTGCTGCAGAGACAACGTGGTGCTGACAGAACCCATCAGAACCTCAGGTTCTAGTGGACACGAAGACGTCGTTGCACATCTTTACCGTATTTCTTGTTGAACAGCTCCTTGACTTGTTCTCGGAGGACGACTTTCTCCCCCATGCGGTTGATGTCGTCTTCGTCTGTCAGGAGAATAGAGTCAGAGCGGGATGAGAACGAAAGTAACGACACAGTGTCGACGTCTCTGACGAGAGAAAAACGTTTTCTCCTCACCGCTTATCGAGGCGTAGGCCTTCTTTAGTAGCGTGACTCTCCGAGGCGCTGAGGAAACAAACGACCTGTTAGTCTCGTCAGTCACACGTGTTGATAAATGAGACATTCTACTCGTACCTGGTTTGGGAATAAGTCCTTGAAAAGGTCTGAAAACAAAAAGCAAATCAATTTAAATTCACTTCCTACAAACTCTGATATAAAGGTTGAATATTAGAAACAAAATCAAGTAATTCTGCTAAAAAATTACGATTTTAATCAAACGAAGAGTTTTCATGAAACAGATCTGAAAATTGGATCTTTTTTGGCTACATCTGCTCCTTCACGTCCTTTAAGTCACCAGGAAGCAGGTTTAGGGTGGTCATGTGACCTGGACCAGATTTTGGGTGGTCATGTGACCTGGGTGGTCATGTGACCTGGTTTGTCATGTGACGTGGACCAGGTTTTGGGTGGTCATTTAATCTGGTTGGTCATGTGACAAGGCTTTGGGTGGTTATTTGACCTGGTTTAGGGTGGTCATGCGACCAGGACCAGTTTAGGTGGTCATGTGACCTGGTTGGTCATGTGCCCTGGACCAGGTTTTGGGTGGTTATTTAATCTGGTTGGTCATGTGACAAGGTTTTGGGTGGTTATTTGACCTGGTTTAGGGTGGTCATGCGACCTGGACCGGTTTGGGTGGTCATGTGCCCTGGTTTAAGGTGGTCGTGTGAACTGGTTTAGGGTGGTCATGTGACCTGGACCAGTTTGGGTGGTCATGTGCCCTGGTTTAAGGTGGTTGTGTGAACTGGTTTAGGGTGGTCATGCGACCTGGACCAGTTTGGGTGGTCATGTGCCCTGGTTTAAGGTGGTCGTGTGAACTGGTTTAGGGTGGTCATGTGACCTGGACCAGTTTGGGTGGTCATATGACCTGGTTGGTCACGTGCCCTGGTTTAAGGCGGTCGTGTGAACTGGTTTGGGGTGGTCATGTGACCTGGGCATCCCACCTCATGATGGTGAAGTTGATTTTGTCGGCGACCGCCAGGATCCTCTCCAGGTTCTGCGAGCCGAAGGTGCAGGGCTTCCTGAAGGGGATCCCAGGGGGCAGGCCTTCGATGATGACTGAATCGGGGTTGTTCTTGATCCTCTTGTAAGGCACTTGGACGGGGTACTTGATGCCCAGCGCCTCGCCGTACTTCCTGTTGAACAGATCCTGGACCTGCTCCCGCAGCGTGTTGGCCAGGTCGATCCTGGACAGCTTGGACTCCATGCACTCTGGGGACGGGAGGCGAAGGACACGGTGCTCATTAAACATTCGTTTGAAAACACGGAGCTGATTCGTGTTTAAAGAGCTCGGCGATGAAACATGAAGGAACCTGAGAACCCCGGCCTCTTGGATAAAGCTGCGGCGTCCTCCGTTACCGGCGCTGCGTCCTTGGCGTCCAGCTCTGTTAAAACAAGAAACAGCCTGAAACCTTCGTTTTGTCGTCTCACAAGATGCTCTGAACACAACAAACGCTCTCAGATGCTTCTAATTTCAGACGTTTCTACAGAGATGAAAAGGCAGCTGCAGGAAATCCCTGCGAGGACTTTTTTCTTTTAAAAAGCCGTTTTAAAATAGAAGCTGAACTGAATCCGACCTCTGCAGAGCGGAGTTTAAATAATCTTTAAAAAGCTGAAGTTAGAGCTTCCAGACAGAATTCAAAGCTGTAGATACTCAACCATGAACCATCACAGTAAATAATGACATTTTCTTGGTTTATTAAAAAACCTCTGAGGAATAAAATGGATCCATTTACAAATGCATGAACAGTTGAAGCTGCTTGAATTCATCATGTGACCCATCAGAGACCCAGGACCGAGCCGCTCGTACCTGCTTCACACATGGACGGCATCTCTTGCTTCACGTGTTCCGTTAGAACCTCAGGCCTGGAGACAAATACGAGACGATTCACAGACCTGCAGGTTTCATCACAGCGTGGAACGGACCAACGTGCTCCCACCTTCTGATAACAAACTGGATCTGGCTGCTGACGGCTAAGATCTTGCGCAGTTTGGCCGCTCCGAAGCAGTTGGGCCTCCGGAGGGAGATTCCCTCTGGAAGCCCGGTCACGTACAGATCCTCTGGGTACATCTGGAACTTGGAGTACGGCACCTTGGCTGGTTCAGGGAGGCCGAGAGCTTCGGCTGAAGAGGAAGAATAAACAACTTGAAATGATAAATAAACATTTCTATCTTGTGTTCTGGTTTTAATTTTATGAGTAATGAAAAAAAATTGAAATCTGGGAATATGTGAAGCTAAATAAATGCAAGATTGAGGGAAGAAGATCCTCCCAAACTATCAAATTTAATCTGAATTAGGCCTAGAATCACTTTCAGGGATGCATGTGGCATGTTGTATTAATATGGGATCATAAAAGAGGAGCACAGGAGTGAGAGGGACATCGTACTCCTGCCAGTAATCAAATCTAAAGCCGTCTTCCCTCAAACACTCCTGGAAGTGTCTGTTAAAGTTTAAATATGACTGAGTAACGGCCACGGGGTAAACAAAAAGTTTAATTAAAGAACATGAAGCTGAAGCCATCAGCCGAGAACTACAACTTTATCATTCATTCATTAACCTATTTATAACCAGACAAATCCTAGAAGATCCAATGTGGAGACAGTCTAAGGACATTTTCTGTCCTACACATTCGTGGAGTTACATCATGGACAACTTCCTGTGGACTGTCTTATGAATGGACAGAGACAAACCAGGGGACAATGGGTCGGACATTTCTGTGTTACTTGAGTGTCAAGCTGGAGCACGGACGAGGTTTGACCATGAGTCGTCTGTGACCTTGACCTTTGACCCTGGAATCATTAACGATCATCCTTGATCAACGAGGTGTGGAGTTTGATATTTCTGTTAAAGTTTTATCAGTTTAGAGCTTGGACAAGAAATCAGACAGGAGGATTCTGTGTCAGCAGACGAACGGACGGACCGACCGACAAATTCCTCAAAATTCATCCAGTGGTTCATGAGATATTTTGCCAACAGATTTGAGGATGACATGGGAGTGGATTTTCACTCCTGTCTTGTCCTGGTCCCACTCCTGGTAACATGACTCCTGCTCCCATTCGGAATGACTCCCACTCCTGTACCGCTCCTGTTTTTTTCTTCTTCTTCTTCCATTTAGCCTTTAGGAAATACATTTAATTTGATTTAATCTTCTACCCATTTCTTTTTATATTACTTTGCGTTTAACACATTACAGACTGGAGAATTGCAAGTCTGGTATTCCAGAGTGAAGGTTTATTGAAAGAAAACTAATTAAAAAAGTGGCGCCTGTTCAAAGTTTATTTTTTGTTCTATTTGTTGGTTCCCGCTCCTGTCTGGTCCTGTTAACTTTTCATCCTGTCCCATCCCAATCCTGTGAGTTATAATAAAGTTGACTCCTGTCCTGCCAGAATCCTGTGACCCGCAGGACTCCTGAAAAAATGTCATCCTCTACAACAGACACATTATTATTTGCCTGATTTCTCAGAACAGCGTCCATCTGATGCAACATTAATATTTTAACAAACCTAAAAATGCATAAACCTGGAAGGACTCAGCACCGATTAAGGAAAGATCTCGTCGTCCTGTGAACGAGGATTACCGGCAGCTTACCGAACTTGATGCTGAAGAGGTTCTCCACGTGTCTCCGAAGCTGAAGAATCATCTCACCGATGTCCTCCACCAGACTCCCAGCTGAACGGTGAAAATGGTCACAGCGAGGGAACAGAAAGAGAATTATTACGCCTTGCAGAGCGGGTCAGGCTGCTCCCCACCTGCCACCACTACTGCCTCTCCGCTCACGTACTTTGTTCTGATTAATTGCAGCTGCGCTACAATGACCTGGCAGTGACAAACAGACTGTACCATCACCAGGTGTGGGGGTGGGGGTTAACGTGCATTAATCACGGAGGAACATTATAAATAGATGGAGGGCAGCAGAGAGGTGAAACTAAACAAGAAAACGAGGGTTAAAGAGAGTTAGCTGGGTCCACTTCCCTTTCTTTTTAAATACCGGAGTTCCTCGCTGACAAGTTCAACTTCAAATGTACGGAGAAACGCATGAACGTACCGCACAAGTTGAACGTACCTTCAGAGGGTCTTCTGATGGTTTGAGGAGCTGCGCCGGGCGACACAGATTCAGCTGCAGGATGAAATGAAAACATGAGAAGAGCAAACGGACGTACAGCTCATGAATCATGTTTTTAAAGAACATCACGAGGAGCAGAAATGTCCTTTTGAATTAGTTTTATTTCGTCAGAATTGTTTTAAATGCTCCTGTAACCTCTCAGTAACTTTACCACCCTCTAATGTTCCTTATGGGGAAAAAATGTATATTTTTAAACTAACCGACCATAAGGAAATCCCATTATAAATGCACGTTGTGATCCCATTCATGATCTCTGCTTTAAACTACTTGGTTGCATCTACAAACAGAACAATGCGTTCATGATTTTTTTACTCGAACAATTTATAAATATCATTTTTTCCACAGAGCACCCAGCTCTTAGTCGTCTTCTTTTCAAGTGCCGGAGCTTTAATGATGCAATATGAAGAAAATCAACAACCCCATAACTGTCAACTAGAGACCCACTGATTAATCGCTCAACCAGTTTTCATTATCTGATATTGACCACTTTAAAAAAAGTATATGGACAGATTCAGGAAGTCCTTTGTGCCTCAAGACATTAGACTGTTCAACTCGTACAGTTAAAAAAAAAAAAGAGCCCTGTAACTCTGCGGTACCCCGAACACATATGTGTGTGTGCATGTATATTTACATATGTATATACCTGTATATGTACAGTATATGTATGCTTAGATGTGTATGTATGTATACATATTGGTTAATCAAACCTTGTACATATGCATATTGTCTTCTTTCCAATTTTGTGTATTCTGCTTCTTTTTTGATTATTTCATGTGTATAATTAGAACATGCTACTGGATGCCTCAGATTTCCCCCTGAGATTAATAAAGTATCTATCAATTGTGCATATGTAATCAATTACCAAGTAAAAAAATGAAGACGCAGCAGCTGCTACAATCAGCTCACTGTAGCTCATAATTGAAAACCCACATAAAATATCATTTAATGCCTGAATTTGAGTATTTTAGCTCAATAAATAAACAAAACTAAATGTGACAATTTTCTGCACTTACCTCAACTTTCTCTCCTTTACTGGTAAAACGTGAAAAAATAAGAAAACTTGAACAAAGCACCAACAAGCAAACAAAATAAAAAACGATCACCTTCTGGACGCCACATCAGCTAAAACCAAGATGACTCTGAGTAGACCTTCAGCCTCTGTAGGCTTCAAACGCAGCAGAACTCATTTATGTGACGATGCTCAGGATGTTGGGGTGAGTGGAAGAGCAGAGCTCCAGAGCTTGAGCATGCATCAGGATAGCAGAGCTCCACCTTTATAGCAACATCAGGACGTCTAAAAAACTGCCCCGCTTCTTCTGTAATCATCCCCAATGACAAAAGACAGCCAGACTAGTAGAACACCTCTGTTGTTGTTGTTGTTGTTTTCTTTTCAGCGAGCGACTTGCACATAAGATTTGTCAATCGCTTCACTCCAAACGCCCGTCCTGATGCAACCTGGGCTCGAACCTGCAGCCGCGCCGACCACCGAGCCACCTCTGTCATTCTTATATGAACTCTACTAAAGCAGAGCAAGCACCCATGATCATTACGGGGCAACCTGGGATTCAGCGTCTCACGCAAAAAACACGTGGAGGGGCTGGAGATGGAATCAGGACGCTCCACTGGCGGCCATCTTGCAATCTCGTTGTGTACAAAGTGAGAATAAAGATGATTCTATTCTTTCATGTGGAACAGAGAAAGATTCAGAAGAAGAAAACCAAACTGCTCCACCTTAATAAAACAGACGTTTAATTACATCTAACAGATTTAATTCAGGTCTCTCTTGTAAATGAGTCCCTGAGGCTCAATGGGATTAACCTGTATAAATAAAGGTTGACTCCCAGTCCCAATTCAAGTTAGCAGCCTAACGAATGAGCGTCCAGTCTACTCAGATGTTCTTGGAGATTTGACTAAAGTTTGGGGGAAACAAGGACCTTTAGCTAACTGTTGCAGGACTAGAAGACGCCCCATGATCTGCAAAGAAGCACAGTGCATTCTGATCATGACCGAGCCTTTAGGTTTAAAAGGTGCTAAACAAGAGCAGACAGCAGTGAATGCACGGTGCTTTTTCCCAGTGAGCGCTCATCTTCAGAGGACAGTGGCTACAAGAGGTCAAGTCAGGGATGAGATATTTAAGGGTGGCTACTGGTGTGACTGGGGAGGTTCGGCAACAAGGAAGTAAAAGGAAGCTATAAATTATTTGTGCTTTCACACAGCGAGTTTAGGACAGAGTGAGGTGGAAGATGGGAGATGCAGTTTCCAGGAGCTGCACGGTGAGGAGGCGGATGACGCAGATGATTACCTGAGTGGCTCTCCATCGGCTGATGAGGAGCTGAGGGAGCTGGAGGAGCAGCGGGAGCAGGGGGCGATGGACACGGCGGCCCTGAAACGGGCTCGGTCACAGGCTCACTGGGCTCCTCCCCGCTCGTGCTCGCCTCGACTGAAACAAAGATTTGAGCGGGTGTTAAGTCATTTTCACCGTTAGGAAGTAAAGCAACAAGAACAATCGTGAAAAGATCGAATGCTGGTGTCTCCACGAGCAACCTGGAGACGAGGAGGTGAATCAGATCTAGGTGAATTTTGAGAGTTCAGACCAGACGTGTTCCGAGCAGAACATTTGAGTGAATGAAGGTTTGTTTGTTTTTTATTTAAATTTAAACAAAAGTAAGAGCATGTATTCGGATTTGGACCAGCCTCAATGTTTTCCGTCAGAGCTCGTCTGACATTCAGCTCTGGTGCGAGTCTAAACCAGTCCTTCTCAAATAGTGGGGCATGTGACCTGGAGAACATGCTTTTCTTGCCGCAGGAAGTAGTTTTTGTTTTATTTCCCACCATTCTCATTTTGTTTTGTCGCATGCGTTCCGGCAGCTGTTTGCTCGTATCTCTCAGACTCACTAAAAATAAAGTTATGAACAAATAACTGTCATTTTGGGAGCCATGCTTGAACCGTGTCGGTTGAATTGAGAAGCACTGGTCTAAACTGAGATGGTTTGAGTTTGAGTCAAGCGCTTCAAAACTTAAGTACTGAACAATTAAAATACACCAGTCGTTACTTTAGTTGACTGTTTTTGACAAACGGTCCATTATTCAGTGAGAAAACTTGTAAGAAAAATATTCAACGAATGATCGGTTTGCACAAAAAGACAATTTAAACTTAAAGTTGAACATTTTTCTCCCTCGATTTGTCTCACAGTGAGATCTACACAACCGAATGACTTGGATAAATACGATACTTGTGTCGTAAATGTTGCTGCTAGCTGCACAGTTGAATTTTGATTATTCTGTACAACAGATGCCTCGTCCCTGACAGTCGTGTGTCCAGAACAACCTTCCTGCATGTATAAACTGAATAAAACAGAACGTTTGCAATATTTCATCACATTTTAATCAGACGACGGCTCTGAAACAGAGGGGTGTCCCATCCTTGTGGTGGATGCTTTGAAACCTTTGTTGATCCAAATAAAACACAGGCGACAGAAACAAGACGGCTGGCAGGAAGTGCTCCTCGCGGAGATGACTACCATAATTTCTGGACTACTGAGCGCACCAGAATATAAGCCACGCCCACTAAATAAAAATAAATAAATACATTTGTACAAATATGAGCCGCGCTTGTCTATAAGACGTGGGTGTCCACGTTGTAACATGAGACATTTAAACAAAGATTTTTAAAAATTTTTAATGAAATACATACCGGTGACGTACACAAATACGTAAAATAAATGTTTTTGTCTGAACAGTGCCTGGAACACGGCTGATAAAACAAAAATGCAGTAGCCTACCAAGAAGTCATTAGCTATGTTTACATGGACATAAGTAATCGGATTAAACGGCCATTCGGAATAAAAAATGCGTGTAAACGACCCAATTCGGATTATTTTTTGTTTATTCAGCTCGATCCGAAAGAATTTGCGATCAGAATGAGACGGGTGGTTTATGCCGATTCATAATCCGAAAGGTGCGCATGTAAACACTTAATCTGTTCTTTTTTTTTTCCAATCGTGAAAAACTGACCTGACTGCACACGTGCCACCTGTCATTTCTGCCTGGCTAATGCTAATAAAATTAGCATGTCGGGGAAGCGACACAACATTTCTACTAGAAACTTTGAAAGAGCTCAAAATGATCTGTATCACCTGCAGCTCAGTCAGGGAGTGCAGCAACGAGACGCCGTCATTAAAACCTGTCGCGGGTCCATTTTGGGCGCTCAGGTTTGTTTACGTTCATCCCGGAAGTGGAACTTCTTCTTCTGTGCTTTTTTTACGGAGAGCTTACCGCTCGGCGCATGTCCGTACTTCTGTTCAGAACAAAAACCCGCTGCATGTAAACGCTCGTCATGAACGGACTGTGCTCATGTAAATTATACATTTGAATTATTTAATCTGAAAACATTTTAATCCGGTCAAAGAATTTTGCGCATGTAAACATAGCTAATGATCGCTACCTTCGTATTCGTCCTGCGCAAGCTTGTGCCGTGTCAGGATCCACTGGCAGCAGACTGTGACCTGTTTGGTAATTTAATTGATCAGATTTTATTTTTTACTTTATTTATACAGGTAGTCTCAATGAGTCACGAGGACTCACCTGCCCCCCCCCCCCCCCCAAGAGAGATGTGTATTGGGCAGCTATGTGAGCACCCAGGTGTTAGCCCGTCAAAAAAAAAAAAAAAAAAAAAACTAGCTGCAGCACTGTACAGTACAAGTTGCAATGTTCAAAATGTGGGAAAAAAATTAGCGGCTTATAGTCCGGAAATTACGGTAATTTAATTAAGCAAAAGCAAAACTTTATTCTAGTCGCTAAGACGCAGAGAAGTCTTTAAGGCCGGTTAACGGGAAGACGTTTTGTGCAAAAATATGCAAAATTCACTCTATACGATTGATCTGGGAGAGATGAGAAGAGTTGAAGAGTGTTCGATTAAAAGACTTGATTATGTTTATTGTGGTCTATATCGGTGCGTGTCAAAAGTACTGAGTCCATCCAAAAACAAACTCGTGTTTCAGTAATTAATACTTTAAATGTCCTCACTTACCAGGCACCGCAATCTGAACTCCTTCCCCGTCTGGAGGCTCCATTTTGATCCTCCTCAGAGGAATGCTGTCACCTGAAGGACCTGCAGGACCTGCAGGGGTTGAGCAGTTTATTCAGGGCGAATCCGTCGTGTTACAGCAAACCAATGGAGCTAAACTAAATTAGCTTTAATTGATCAGACCAAACAGAAAAGAGGAAGCCAAAGCCGAGGACTGGCGATTGGTCTCGAGCATCATGAAGACTTTTTTAAATTTCTTTTTTAAGTGAATTACCTGCTTCATAGTCAGCTTGAGGACTCACACAAGCACTCGTTGATCTGTGAAATCAATGAAAAGTTATGAATATACGTTGAATATTCTTGTACGCTCATAGCAAAGAGACAAGAAACAGCTTTTTATAAACTTTCTGTATAAGGAACTAAAAGGTCGTTACCAGAAGTAAATATTACGTAAATAAAACTTAAGACAAAAAAAAAAAAAGAAAGACCTCCAGCAAGTCATCATTTCTTCTTTGGTTTTAATTAGAGGCAGTGTTTGGAAAATCTAAATCTACTTCATGATCAAGCAGCTTGTAGAACCACCGGCAGCTGCAACAACTCAGTAATTATCTTGTGTAGGATCCTGTACGTCTGAGGAGTTTTGACCCGCTCCTCTGTCCAGGGTTGCTTCAGCTCATTGAGGTTTCTGTTGTAGATCAGCTGCTGTGTTTGGGATCATGGTCCTGTTGGACCCAGACTCCAGAACCCTTTGGTCTACAGAGGAGATCCTGGTTCACCGAAGGACTGCAATGAACCCAAACCATTGGCGCTCCACCACCGTGCTGACATTCCTGTGTTTGGATTTCTCTGAACGTGTCGCTGTGCATTATGGGTAAACGTTTCCACTTGGGTCTCATGTTGGTCCTGAAGCGGTTTGTTCAGACGCAAGCCCAAACTAAGTCGTCACATCGTTCACGGCCTCTTTTTCTAAAAGTCCTGTCATGAAGTTGAACCTTTAAGCTGAACTGAAGATCACAATCTGAGCTGGAGCTCCTGGTCTTGCTGCTGCTCAAGATCACTGCTGATGTCTTTCCGCCTTGGCAGTGTGTCAACACAACAATAAAAACAAAAGTCATGCGATAAATGATGATAAATCAGTGAATTATTACATTTAATCAGCAGCACCTGGCTGATCAACTTGGTTTTCCACCCATTCCACCTACGGCCATTTTTGTTTAGTAATTAATGACAGAACTTCATGTTTTGATTTTTTAATAAAACTAAAAATCACTCTGATTAAAGTAATATGTTCAGAGCTGCTGTCAGGGCACCAGTATTATGCACTTTGGTAATTACTGCACTAAAACAACTTTGTGCCGGCGATCAAAGCAACCAGCCGTTATTTAAGCAAAGCAGTCGCTGAGCTCCGACCTGCTGCTGTGAGGATTGCTGACCAGCTCGGCGGCGGTGGGCGGGAGGATCAGACAGTCGGAGAAGCCGTCTTCAGGTGTGGAGCCCAGGTCAAGCCTTCCCTCCTCCTTCGCGATCTTGCCAGCAGCTAAAACAAACACGGCATCCCATTAGCACAGGAACATCTGCCGGGTGTAAACGTGTAAATAACGATTTGACGGAGCTGCCGTCCTGTAGCCGGTGACGAAACGTAACGAAGCTGACAACCATCGCCGAGCTCGCTGCTCCTCGTAGAAGGAGCGCTGACAAAACATGACACTTTATCCTGAGTTATGGAAAAACATGACGATCGTTACCCTTTTTTAAAAAAAAGTTGTAATTGACTCAGATTTTTTTTTTGTGTGTGTTTTGTTTTTTTATGAGTTTGTTTATCAATTTATCTGGAACTCCTTGATATGTTTTAGAAAATTATACAGGAAAATATTCTGCTGCTTTGAGTTTGATGTATAACAAAGTGACGATATAATAAGCTTGCGCTTCTGCCTACACTTTTTTTTTCGGTCTACTTTGTGTTCTTAATTTTTCTTATGAAACTGGTTTTGGTTCAGAATGTGTATGTACATTTAGGGACAGGACTGGTGATAAGCCATTGCTTCTTCTTGCTCTCTTTTCAAACATTTTTGTTTTGTTTCCAGAATATTTTGGTGGATATATATAAATATATATATACATTTCACAGTATTAGTGCTGTTACATTAAATTAGTTAATCCATTACAAGTCATTTACTTCAACTACCTTACGTTTTACAACCTTAATTCCAAAACAGTTGGGACATTTGGTAAAACAGCTAAAACAGGAAGCAGCAATTAGCAAATTTATTCACAAACTTTTCATCCAAAGTGGAACAAAGTACCGTAATTTCCAGACTATAAGCCGCTACTTTTTTCCACACACTTTGAACCCCACGGCTTATACAACGCTGCGGTTAATTTGTGGATTACAAAAAAAAACATTGCTGTACATATTTGTGTATGTTGGTCACATTTCCTCAGAGAAGGATTATGGGTAAAATTAATGAGCTGTTTAGCATAGTTCTTTTAGTGATTAGTCTGTTGTTCTTAGTTTACGTGTTCATTATGTGTTAGTTTGTGTTATTCCATTCAGTAGAGTCACCCTGAGTGAGGGAGGTCATTGTCATGAAGACCTGCGGGGTTCACTCTGTCTGTGGTGAACAGGAAGATAAAGTCTATAAAACGCCATCTGGTGGTTGATCCTTGAACTACAAGAGCTGCACATCTCTCAGTAGCTGTGCTGCTGTCACGCATGTTACAACATGAACACCTACGGCTTATATATGTACAAAATTCATTTATTTTTATTTAGTGTACACGGCTTATATTCAGGTGCGCTTTATAGTCCGGAAATTACGGTACACATCAAATGTTTAGATTAAGAAGTTTTATCATTTTTGGCGGGGGGAGTAGTTTTCTTTTTTTTAGTGGGAACTGGTCCCCACTCTTGAAGCATCCTCTCAAAAGTCAGGACGTCCAGGATCTGAGACCAGTTGTTATTGGGGGGTTTTGGATGGAATCTTGTCCCAATCTGGTCTAATGGAGGAGTCTAGCTCTTCAGTTCTGGGCCTTCTTTGCTAGATAGGACCAGACGTTCTAAAACCTGCTTATAATTGTTCTGCATTCTTCGGATATGCAACTGCTCAGACCAGACTTACTAATGCACCCCCATACCATCAGAGAGGCAGGCTTTTGAACGGTGCGCTCATATTAGACCGGATGGTCCCTCTCCTCTTTAGTTCCAAGGACAAGACATCTGTGGTTTTCAAAAAGAACTTCAAATTTAGATTAGTCTGACCCCAGAACAGTTTCCCACTTGGACTCAGTCCAGTTCATTTCAGCTTTTCTGGTGTTTACACACGGCTCCTTTGCACGATAGAGCTTTAACGGAGGTTTGCAGACGGCACTGTGAGCTGTGCGTACACAGAACAGAAGCAAACCTGTTTTTAATGCAGTGGCCTCTGAGGGCCCGAACATCACGATCATGATTTACTTTCAGCCTCGTGCTTCGAGCGCAGAGATTTCTCACATCACTTATTTTTACACTTTTGTTGAAATGTGTAGCTGCCATCAAATTCAAAGTTCCTTTAGTTTTACCTAAAAATGTTACAACTTTTTGGGAATTGGGAGTTGTAAGTTCAGCAAGCGAATAAACAAAAAAAAAAAAATACGTTGAAGTTCTGCCCGACAGACACAAAATGAAGTAAACGGAGATTATTAAAAACGTTTGAACAAATGCTCCACAGGAACTTTGCCATTTAGCGGCAATAATTTTAGCAAGTCCAAGAGACAGATGAGCAGCGCTTCAGCAACGGGGCAACGTCGCAGCTCATACGTTGTAGAAAACGGCATAAAAACAAGAAAACAAAAATTTATTACAGCCTTACCGGTGAAAATCCTTTCATCAAACATTCTGGAACATAAAGAGAAAAACAGGCCGTTAGTCACAGAGTTCAAGGAGCGGTTCAGCTCTCGGGGCCAAACATTCCTGACGCAAACACATTACAAGTGATGGAAGCTGCTATCAAGAGCTCTTTAGGCACATTAGCTGCTCTTTAAACGATCTGTCGCAGCCAAACAATCAAGTAATGAGTCCCTTTTGCTACTAAAACCCTCTGGTTGTAACAACTGCTGTAAAATACTCCTCCCCCTGCTGGAACAGCCTGCCATTGAGCAGTTTTTGTGCTATTTCAACAAATCGTATCAAAACGTTCGGCTCTTTCAGGACAATCCTGCTACGACTGTTGGTGCAACTTTAGCTTTTTGAAATATTTAGCCTTTTCTGCCTTTTTCTTCTCATAGAAAATGAATCGAGCTCATTTTACATCCTTCAAATCTTTAGATCTGTTCACAGCCTTTTACTGCTCCTTTCACATTTTGTTCTGCTTCAGCTTTTTTTAGCTTCCTTGTGCAAATTTTAAAAATTTCAGCTACTTTCAGCTGTTTTTTAGCAGGTTTTTTTTTCTCCTTTCAGATTCTTTCTGCTAACCACATTTTTGTGCTTCTTCTAACTTCTATCTGCTAATTTCAGCTTGTTATGCTCCTTTCAGCTTATTTCTGCAAGTTTCAGCTTTTTCTACTATTTCAGCTACTATATAGCTGTTTTAATGCTAATTTGAGCTTTTTCAGGAAATTCCACATCTTTGGCACTCACTCCAACATTTTTCAGCCTAATTCAGCAAAAATGTGCTCTCTCCACTTCCGTCTGGTAATTTATGTTCCTTTCCAATTTTTTTAGCTACTTTTAAAGATGTTTTATGCTAATTTCAGCTCGTTTCAGTTCATTTCCACTTTTTTGTGCCAGTTTCTGCTTCTTTCAGCCTAAATGGGCAGACGTGTTCTTCCTGCTTTCTTCTGCTACATTAAGTTCTACCTTTTCAGCTAGATCTCGCCTGATAACTGAACTTCTCATCTCTAAGGGCGGGTCCAGCTACTCTGCAGAGGACACTCATTTCAACCTCCTGTATCCATGATCTCATTCTTTCGATCACTACCCAGAGTTCATGACCATAGGTGAGGGTGGGAACATAGACTGACCAGTAAACAGAGAGCTTTGCCTTACAGCTCAGCTCCCTCTTCACCACAACGGACCGGCACAGAGTCCACAATACTGCAGACGCTGCACCAATCCGTCTGTCAATCTCACGCTCCATTCTTCCCTCACTCGTGAACAAAACCCTGAGATGCTTGAACTCCTCCACTTGAGGCAGAACCTCACCCTCGACCTGAAGAGAACAATCCACTCTTTTCCGTTTTTTTTTTCTTTTTCCCGGATTGAATTAATCCCATTTACTTCTTTTCTAATTGTATTAACACTAATGAGCAGCCTGCGGGGTTCAACCAAAGAGTTATCTCAAACAAGGCGTGGCGTCTCATGTACATCAGTTTGGACAAAGAGACAGAGCAGCCATTAGAACAAGACGCTGGCGAAGGAGAGGTTAAATGGAGATGATTTACCGGTCAGCAGGGCGGAGAGCGCTAAAGGAAACTTGTTTAATGGACAGATGGGAAGGCTGGTGGATGATTATTGAAAGTCTTTAACGAACACAAGTTAAAGGCGTGATGCCTTTCTGTACTTTTGTTTTTATGATGCATCCAGCAGCTGATCTATGAACTGATAAATGAGGCTTTGGTATAAATCAACGTAGTTTTTATTAAAAGTGTCGCTGCGTTCATTAACAACAGGTCTCAAACGAAGGAGTTACCTTTTGATGATGAATCGGATACCGTGGCGCTCGTCCAGGATGCGTTTGAGCTTGGGCACCCCATACGTGCACGGCCTCTTGAAGGGGATCTGATCTGGGATGCCGATGATCTCCACGGCTCCTGGATCGCAGGCGATTTTACGGTAAGGGACGGGGACCATGTGATCGAGACCCAGCGCCTCAGCTGAAGTGAAAACAAAACAATAACATAAAGCTTAAAATGCACCTGAACGCAATGCGTTTATTCAAATTAATACAAACAGCTGAAGGAAAGCCGTCTCCTGAGAGATGCAGATGTGAAATTTATGGACATTAAGATAATTAGAGCTGGAAGAGAAACGAGTCTGAAGTGTCTGATGATTGCTGCTCCGAGGTTTACGTTTGGAAGAGATGCCACGAGTGCAAAGCTAAACCTGAAAACAGACAAGCAGCATTAAAGATTCTCTGAAAATGTAGGTTTTACTGGAGGAATGCATGTCGCCCGCTGCTTTCTATGCCAAAGTTTAAACAAATTAATCACTCGGTGTATTCGGGCTCCGAGTGTGTCGGAGGTGACTCCAGCTCTGCCTGACGCCATTATTCTGCATGCACGTAGTGCCTCTCCATACTGGAAGACAAACAAGTTGTATTCATAGAGGAATGACTTTGAAGCAAATTATTTATTCCTTTACCAAGTTTGAAGCCCAGAAACTGGGAACACAAAAAGTAAGGAGCTAGAAGAGGAGCAGCAAGATCGTCAGAAATACTGAACGACTTTCTTCTACAGAAGAAAACAAGAAGAAATGTTGCAACGATCCAAATCAACTCCCGTCTAATTCCCATCGTGATACACTGCATGGCCAAAAAAAAGTCTCCACCTGGATTTAACTAAGCAAATAGGTACGAGCCTCCTACTGGATAATCACTGCATGGGCGATCATCTTTCAGCTGCAACAAGTTATTTAACCCCAACTGGTGCAATGAGTTGCTTCTCATTTCTTAAACAACCGTGTTGAAAGACACATGGCGTGGTCGTGGAAAAGATGTCAGTCTGTTTGAGAAGGGTCAAATCATCGACATCAAGCAGAGGAAACATCTAAGGAGATTATAAAAACTACTAAAATTGGGTTAAGAACTGTCCAACGCATTATTAAAAACTGGAAGGATAGTGGGGGCCCATCGTCTTCCAGGAAGAAATGTGGCCGGAAAAAAATCCTGAATGATCGTGATCGGCGATCATTTAAAACATTTGGTGAAATCAAATGGAAGAAAAACAACAGCAGCACTCAGGGCTGTGTTTAATAGTGAAAGTAAGAACATTTCCACATGCGAAGGGAACTCAAGGGACTGGGACTGAACAGCTGTGTAGCCTTAAGAAAACCACTAATCATAAGAAAACCACTAATCAGTGAGGCTAACTGGGAAAAAAGGCTTCAATTTGCTAGGGAGCATAAAGATCGGACTCTGGAGCAATGGAAGAAGGTCATGTGGTCTGATGAGTCCAGATTGACCCTGTTCCAGAGTGAAAGGCGCATCAGGGTAAGAAGAGAGGCAGGTGAAGTGATGCACCCATCATGCCCAGTGCCTACTGTACCAGCCTGTGGGGGCAGTGTTATGATCTGGGGTTGCTGCAGTTGGTCAGGTCTAGGTTCAACAACAGTGTGTGCTCAAATAATGAGGTCAGCTGACTACCTGAATATAATTAATGACCAGGTTATTCCATCAATGGATTTGTTTTTCTTCCCTGATGATACGGGCGTATTCCAAGATGACAGTGCCAGGATTCATCGGGCTTGAATTGTGAAAGAGTGGTAAGGGAAACACTACTTCATCTTTGCTCATAAATGGAGCTGAGTAAAAACTAGATACTTTAATATACACTGCCTGGCCAAAAAAAGGTCAAACACTAATATTTCGTTGGACCACCTTTAGCTTTGATCACAGCATGCATTCACCGTGGCATTGTTTCAATAAGCTTCTGCAATGTCACAAGATCTGTTTCCATCCAGTGTTACATTAATTTTTCACCATCGTTGATGATTGCAGATTCTGACCATTGCGCAAAGCCTTCTCCAACACATCCCAAATATTCTCAATGGGGTTAATAAGGTCTGGACTCTGTGGGGGCCAATCCATGTGTGAAGATGATGTCTCATGCTCCCAGAACTACTCTACAAGCAGGGCGCCCCGCCTTGTACCGAGCACCCTGCCTACCGAAACCCCGACAACTGCCGGCACTGACATAGCGCTAAGCTAGTGGCGCGCAATGCAGAAGCACTAACTAAAAGGCGATGACTATGGAGGTTGCGCTCCGTCTACCTCACGTTGAGCCGTCTACGCCCCCCACCCCATTCGAAAACTGTTGGTACAAACAGTACAGTGGACCAACCAGTTTGTTGGTGATAAGATGGTTTCCGGGGGCTGTCCTCCCCCAGACTGATGAAGCCCTTCGGATGGAGGATGAAACATCTCTCAACAAAAACAAGAATCGTCGCCCTTGATGTAATGAAGACGGCCACATCTAGAAAGAGAGGCCTTTCTTACCGTATCTGCTGTTGAACAGGATCTGAACACATTCCCTCAGAGTGTTGATGTCTTCGGTTTCCCGAATGAACGAGTCCCATTTTTCTGCGAGAAAACAAAACGAACACGTCGATGCGTTACACACAGTACAGAAAATAAGTTTCTTTCACGTTTCTCGTAAACTAAACGTTTAAATTAGTTTTATTTTCAGAGTCAAGAATGTATTTGAACTTAATCTTCTCCTCTTCCTTAATACCAACTCGGTAAATCAGTGCAATCGTCTTAAAGGATTACTCAACAGCTAAGTAGCTTAGCCCGTAATGGCGCGGAGTTGGCACAGTTTGATACTGGTTTCCATAAACTAGACTTGTACATGTGCGTCTGTAAATCCAATCAAGAACATCAGAGATCTCAACTAAAACAATCAAGTTGAGATTTAAGACTAAAATAATCCGTCTGTGACTCCTTAACCAGAACAAACATCTCATTAGTGAGTTTGTAGTGCAAGATTGTGCAAAGTTTCAATATTTAGTTCAAACTGTATTCAGTGTACCTATTTTATCTTAGTGGAAAAATGCTTTGATGCAGTTACTGTGAAATACAACCAACTAATTTCTGGTGTTGGTCATTTATTCAAACCAACCTGACTTTTCGTGCACGATGGAGAAGAGGAGCCTCTTAGAGATGTGGACACCAGGGGGGCTCTGACCCTGCTCAGCAGGCAGTCGTGTTGGCTCGTCTAAAAGCGCAAAGCAAGATAAACAGATTCAGCTGCATGTGGTTAAAGTCCTTTTGGTGCGCACATGTTCAGCTTACCAACACTCATTTGCTTAATTTTCATAATTATAAAAACAAGCGTTCATATCTACAAGTAGGCGCTCTAGCTTTTATTATTTGATGTTGAATGTAGTTTGTTCTGCACTTTACAGACACAAAATTAATCTAATAACGCCTAAATTTGATCCGTCATAACTTTAAAGATATAACTACAGAAAATAAATTTTCTGTGAAAATTCTTTCTGTTAAAAATGACTCCAAAATAAGAGCTAAAATTTGCTGATGAAACTGAAACAGAGTAAAGTAGTAAAAGAAGAATACAGACTAAAACAGCAAAAAGTTGACTAAAAGTACCAAAACACAGGCTAAAAGCTAAAAGAAACTAAATACTAGCTAAAAGCCAAAAGTTGCAAAATGCTAGCTAAAAGTAGCAAAAGGCTAATAAAATTTAAAAGTAACAAAACACTGTCTAAAAGCTAAAAGAACAAAGTAGCTTAGCAGGTACGGCTAGGGGTTGGTAAAAAGCTAGTTTTTTGCCATTCAAGGTAAAATAACCTACATACTAGCGAAAAGTCAAAGTAGCCAAATGCTTGGTAAAAGGTAACAGTAGCAAAATCGCAGCTAAAAACTAAATGTAGCAAAAAAAAGTTAAAACACTAGCTGCAATGCTAAAGCAGAAAACCACTGGCTACAAACAAACAACACGAACAATGTCAGCTAAAAGACAAAAGTAGAAAAAGGTTAACTAGAAGCTAAAAGTAACAAAATACTATCTAAAATCTGCCACAGGTAAGCTGTATGCTAATAAAACTACAAAGCTAATAGTCGCAAAAGGGAAGCTTAAAGCTAAAGAAACAGCTAGCTAAAAGTTAAAAGTAGCTAAAGGATAAGTGAAGGTAGCAAAATGGCTGCTACATGTAGTGGAAGGCAATTTAAAAGTAACAAAATGCTAGCTAAAAGCAACAAAAGGTTAATTACATCTAAAAGTACAAAAACACTGGTTAAAACCCAAAGTAGCAAAATACTTGGTAAAAGGTAACAGTAGCAAAATCACAGCTAAAAACTAAATATAGCGAAAAGAAAAGTTAAACCACATGCTGCAATGCTAAAGTAGAAAAACACTGGCTAAAACCAAACAAACTGAATAATGTCAGCTAAAAGACAAAAGTAGAAAAAGGTTAGCTAGAAGCTAAAAGTAACAAAACAATAGCTAAAAGCAGCCAAGCGCTAAAAGGCTAATCGTAGCAAAAGCGAAGCTTAAAAGCTAGAAGATAAAAATAAAACACTAGCTAAGGCAGCCAACAGTCAGTTGTATGCTAATAAAACTAAAATGCTAATAGTAGCAAAAGGGAAGCTTAAAGCTAAAGAAAAAAAAAACAGCTAGCTAAAATTTAAAAGTAGCAAAATGGCTGCTAAAAGTAGTAGAAGGCAAGCTAAAGTAGTAAATGATAGCTAAAACCTACAAGTAGCATAAAAATAAAAAAAGAGCCAAAGAGGACAATGTTTTTGAAGTAACTGACAACATCTCAACATTTTTCTATTGGAACAATAATTGCAGATAACATTAAATATTTTGAAAAGTATAAAAGTTGCAAAAACCAAAAGTCATGGCACCGGTCTCCTGAATGAGCTGAATGTTTTGACACATAAATGACTGAAATAGCAGAAAGTATTGTGATACCCCAGAGAGCTACAAGTTCCCCTGTCAAACCCATTTCACCGCTGCTGGCGCTGTCCTTTACAGAGGAGCCCTTGTCCGTCCCAGATGGCCAGGTGGCCAGCCGGTCTTTGCCCAGGTTGAGGAGGGACGTTGGCTTGAAGTCCAGCTTGCCATCCGGGTGGGGTTTGGAGGACATTGGCATGCCGTACAGGAAGTTTGACAGAACCGAGTTGCTGCAGGTGGCAGGACTCGGTGAGGTGACGGCCTGGGCAGATGTCTTTCCTGGAGCGTGGCTGCTCTGAGACACGACGGCGGTGGAAGGGCCGTTACTGACATCTGCGCTCGACTTGGCTTCTCGAGACGACTCCTCTGCTTGTCTGTGCAAAGAGGCCAGAAGAAGAAAGGCAACCTGAAAGGGCTTTTGTGTATTACTGCATATAGATGCACATCTTCAATCATCGTTTCTAACAGTTGAACAGTATTTGGTGAGGACGTTTTAGCTCCGTGCTTCTCGTCTCGTGCTTCGTCTGGAGCATCTTGTGAACAAACCACAAACCAATTACAGGCGGAACCGTTAACACACTGTTGTGTGTATTTTCAGAACATTATTTTAATTTCATTACACAGCGGCAGGACAGGAAACCTCCAGTTTGTAATGATCTCGGCACGTGACAGCCAGGAAAGAGAAAGTAAGATACTCTGATACGTAAATGGTTTTCTTTTTAACATCAAGGATTCATGAGATTATAAGAATCTGGTGACCAGTCTTCTCAACACTGGGAAAGCAAACAGAACCTGTACTTCCATCCTTTATTTTGTGCAACCACAGCCTGAGCCATTTCTGACATTTTACCGCTCCAAGTTTGTGGAATCCTCTTCCCTGGTATTACAACTCTACTACAGCTGATAATCCTCCAAAATCACGGATCTATTTCTCAAACCTGGATCATACTGCACTATTACATACCCAGCCCCGGCCCGGTCTAATTCCTGTGTAACGTTGTCTGTTAGAATTAATAAGACATTTGTAAAGATGGTTCTGAAACTGGGCTCAAAAAGACTCGAGTCCAGATCAGACTTCTTGATTCATGATTAAGATACAAACCTTATTCCAAATCTTCAAAAAAAAAAAAAAGATAATCTGCAAAGATAGGAAGATGGGAATGATATTTATATAAAACAAATACCCCCACCCCCCCAAAAAAACGTAACTTTTAAAAAATATTTCCGTCATACCTGAGCCATTCTGAAGTGGGGCTCTGTGTAACAGCTGAACAATTAGGGCGGTAGAAAGCTCTTTGAATGAATTTAGTTTAGTGAAATAAGAGTTTAATTGAGACAGAACTGATGGACTTTATGATTAGTTCGAGTGGGACCAAGACCAAAGTGGACTCCAGCCATCTACAAACATCTCCAACATCAGTCAACACAGAAACTACCGTAATTTACAAGACTCTACTTTTTTCACATGCTTTGATTGAACTCCGTAGCTTATACTATGCTGCGGCTAAGTTGTAGATTTTTTTTAATTGCGGGCTAACTAGCTTCATGCCGCCAAAACATTTAGCCTCGCCACACCCGGGTGCTCAAATAGCTGCCCAATACACATCTCTCTTGGGGGGTGGGGTCCTCGTGACTCATTGAGACAACCTGTATAAATAAAGTTTTTTTTTAAATCAGACCAATGAAATTACTGAACAGGTCCCAGTGGACCAATGAAACTTGGAATTACTGTAAATCAAACGCACTCTCACTAAATTCTTCACATCAGTTATTTTGCGCTTCATGCACAGACCATCATGGAAAACACGAAGAAGCGCAGATGATGATGAAGATGATGATTTCAAGTTAAAGGTGATCGATCTGGCCGTCGAAGAAGGAACTGGAGCTGCTGCACGTAAGCTTGGCATCAACGAGTCGATGGCGAGACGTTGGAGACGGCAGCGTGAAGAACTGAATCGAAGCAAAAAGGCGACGAAAGCTTTCAGACGTAAGAAAAAGCAGATGTCCTGAACTTGAGAACGTTCTTGCAGACTGGGTGAACACACGGAGAGCAGAAGGCCGAGGTGTTTCCACCGCGCAGATCCGACTGAAAGCCCAAACAATCGCCACCGAAAACAAGATTGAAGACTTTAGAGGTGGACCATGTCAGATTTATGAGACGAAAAGCCAAAGAACACAGCGATCATGACTTTTCCTGGTAGACTACTGCATTTATTTAATTTTTATTTTAACCAGCCGTGTCACAGGCACTGTTCAGAAAAAAACATTTACTGTACGTATGTGTATGTTACTGGTATGCATTTAATTAAAAGTTTAAAATATCTTTCTGTGTAAACATCTAATGTTACAACGTGGACACCTGCCGCTTATAGACAAGTGTAGCCTATATATGTACAAAATTGTTTTCTGCTTCTTTTTTGGTGGGTGTGGCTTATATTCAGGTGCGCTCAATAGTCCAGAAATTACAGTACATTACAAACTTTAAGATCTCTGTCATTTTCTCAAAATTGCTTATTTTAGCAGAAATAATATGATGCAGGATGTTCTTCCAGCTAAACAGGAAGTGCTGTGGCTAGCTACAACCGGAATTCTTAGCTTTAGCAGCTAACTATGGAAGGCCATTAAAAACAATTTGGTGTAAATGTTTATAAACCAACGTTTGCATGAACCGGTAGGACATTTTGGAGACTGAAGCTGTTCTCGGTCTTCAGCAATCCACTTTGGTCTAAGTGGAGTTCGGACTAGCCATTAGCTAGTCAGTTCTGTCAGAAATAAACTCTAAAGAGCTATCTGCAACAGGTAAGATACAAACTGTTTACAGGTAAGATACAAACTGTTTACACAGAGCCGCAGTTCAAAATGGCTCAACTGTCCACGCATTGTTTTAATCACAGAGTTCAAGTCTTTTTCTGTAAAACAAGCTTTTTATTAGTTGTAAAATTATGTTAGTTAAACAAAATAATGTGTGCTTCATGGCTTTTTTACTGGCAAGATGCTTCCAGTATATGTTAAGAAAAACCATTTGCACTTTTGCTGCGTCTTCATAAACTGAGCCAAGTTTACAGAGTTTCCCAACGTGGGGTTAGCTCGGAGTTTTTATCCTACTGCAAATAAAATATTGTAAACAGATCTTTGCGTGCCTGTTGGTTTTTAGAAATTCAGAGTTTTATAAAACGCAAAAAGTAAAGGTCTGAAAGTTTTTTCATACTTCTGCAGACACTGAAAATACTAAAACTAAATTCAAGGCTGCACTGCTGACAGAAATACACGACTGCTTCTCTTGATTCCATTAAATATTACGAAACACACACTGCAAGCCTGACTGCTCAACATAAGATTTATTTTTTCCACCAGCTGAATTTAAAACCTTGTCCAGCCATAATTAAAGCCCTGCCACCTGTCTGTTACCAATAAGTATCTGAAGAAGACGCCAAGGCAGCGACATGCTTCCAGCTACACACAACTATGCATCTCTGCAAACCATTAGAGAATGAAAAGACCCATTTGATGTGAAACAGACGCTTTCATGATGTGAAACAAGCTTTTAAAAACATCAAGCTGTTCTCCACAAACAGCTGTTAAGACTTCCCAGACTTACTTCTTCACTGTGAAGTGGATTCGGTGACTCTGCTCCAGAATCTTCATCAGCGTCTTGGTGTCGTACTCGGAGGGTTTCTTCAGGGCGACTCCCTCAGGCAGACCGTGAGCCACCACACACCCCGGGTCTTTCTGGATCCACTCATAAGGCACAGGGAGCAGGCTGCTTTTCCCCACAGCCTCACCTGCGAGTCATAATGGGGCGTTTAAAAACTTATGCAATTAAACAAATCTCTGGGGTTGCTTTTGTTCTCCTGCTTCTTACTGTAAAGTACAGTGAAGACTTCTTCCACCATCTTCCTCAGGACAAAGATGTTGGACTGGACTTCGGATGAGGCTCTGGGTTTGCCGTGGTCTCCATCTTTACTCAGTTTGCTCAGGTCACCTTCCTGTTCTTTGGTATGGGTGTTCGCTGTGGTGGGACTCTGCAGACACGGTGCCCCTGAAGCCAGAGGACCAGTGACGACTTTCAGTAACGTTAAAACAGACAAGTGCGTATTAGCTGGTCCAAATGTTTACAGAGTTGTGTTTTTTACATTTTAAATACTTAAGGCATTAAAATCACCCTGCAGATTTATTTTTATCCTGCTAAACAAAGTGAAGCAGATCGTCCCACAGAGTTTCTGAAACATGCCTAAAATGTGACTTTTTTCCTTGGAGAATAAAAACGCATCATATGCTGGAAGTTGGATTGTAATGACAATTTCTACAAGCTTCATTATTTTTATTTAGCTCCATAAACATGAACCGCAACATTAATCCGAGCTTTTAGACACGTTTCTGCTCGCTGTTCAACGAGTAGAAACGCCTCGTCTGTAGTTTCGCAAACATAATGCATCAAATAGGTTTTGCTAAATGAGACGTGGTGATGTAGTGAGTAATTTTATCTGATAAATGGAAGAGACGACGGCCTGAAACTGTTCTGTTGATTTGATTATTTCATGTTGAAGTAATTAGATATTGAGCAAAACTGCAAACCGCTGCAGTTACTTCAGCGTTTGGCTGAATGTGCCTTTGTGTGATCACAAGGCTGTAAAATTTAACAGACACAATTGACAAACGCCTCGCAGCTGTGGAGCTCATCAGAATGATACATGAAGAAATAAAGTAGAAGATTTCAGTGTGAATGCTGAATGACTTGGCTGAATTTCACTGGAAAAGTTGAAAGTGAGTTGAATAAAACCTGAACTTTTAATTTGAAATGGAATATTTAAAGGAAAAAAAGAGGACCAGATAAGAAAAAGCAGAGACATTAAAATACAAACATACAAAAAACAAAGACTAAATGGACACATAAGGAAAATATAAGAAGAGATGCATAGAAGACAAAACGGAAGCATACAAGACTAATAGGATGCATGAAAAAACAAAAAGCCTGCATGCAGAGATGAAAACAATTCATGAGAAGACATAAAAGGAAAAAAGGAAGAAAGAGGAGATAAAAATATAAAGAGTGCATAAGCAAAACAAAAGCATGACTAAGGAAGTAAGAAGACAAACAGAGCAAGTGTGCTGAAGTCTATTTCAGAGACTAGAAAGTTTTAAAGGATTTAAAGAGACTTTTCAAGTCACGTTCAAAACGTGCATGGCAGAAACTGGAGTGAACGATGAGTCGGCATTCACACAGTATGTAAAGACAACATTCAGATCAGAGCTCACGGCAAAACTTGTAGAAGTCCGTTTGAATTTCCCTCCTGGAGTTAAGGAACACTCGGCCCTTCTCTGTTCCCACGGCGATCACGCTGTCTTCGTGCACCGTCACACACGCCACCTCCGCATTGAGTTTAGCCATCGCCGTGCACTGGAACAGGAGTCAACCGGGAGTCAACCGAGAATCTAGCAAATGTCTGACAGAAGTCTAACAACAGTAAACCTGGAGTCAAGCAGGAGTAAACCTGGAGTCAAGCAGGAGTCAACCTGGAGACAATCTGGAGTCATTCTGGAGTCAAAGAGGAGTCAACCAGGAGTCTA